CTGTTACCCTTTCTCCACAACGATCACATAGTAGTCCTAAATCCAATACTAACCAACAAGAAGAACCGCAGAGCCAGACCAGCAGTTTCAGACAAGAAGTTAAGATAGGCGGGTTAAGACGGGTTCACACTGTATGATTTATAATTGTCCTTTACAACTGTTGCTTGTCAGACTCAACGAACAGGACCCCCACTGTGAGTTATGTCACACTGTAGCATCTCAGTTGTCAATAGGGATTTTAAGCAACAGCTACTGTTGGAAAGGCAACTGCTCCATTGCGCATAAATGATTTTTACTACTACTTTAGGATGTTCTACTGTAACCATCTACTATGTGAGAACTGTATTTATATACGTGACAGATTAAATGTAAGTGTTCTAGTTTATAGTTATACTCACTCTAAAACATGCAGGGTTGTTTTAACCCAAATTTGGGTCAAATATGGACACAAACGTTGGGTTAAAAATGTCATTTAGAGTGCTCCAATCAAAAATATTCAGACACTAGATAAACTGACATAATATACACAAAAGATTCTTCAGGCAGTGGACTACCAGTAAAATTTATAACAATTGGGGACCAAAAATTTTTCAGACACTTTGACCTGACCATGTTTTGCTTAAGTGTGTTTTTTTTTACAGCTAATGCAAACTTTTGACTGAGCAAAATAAAGCATTGCTTGGTAATTGGTTGGCACACATTGGTATTATCTAGTTGTGTACTTAAATTTGACAGCTGACAGCACCTATTTCATTTGTGAGACAGTCTTACAGAAGGATGGCCAAAATCAGTGAAATGTCAACTGAGTTCTTGTCATATTTTATTAACATTTTCTAAACTAAACTGTGATAAGAAATGTTGAAGGTGTCTGAATACGTTTTGGTTTGACTGTATGTGTTGTGTTAATTGTAGCTGTATTTTGTTAAATGATTAAATGATTTGTTTTGCCGCCAGTTTACTTCCGGTCGCTGTTGCCGTGCTTTTCATCAGCAGCTGTTGCTTAACGTCCCTAATGTAGGTCAAGATGTGTTAAAATGGACGCATGCAAAAAAAAAAAAACTCGTCCAGGGTTTTACATCAAAAATAGAAATGGTGGCTAGCAAACATCTCTTGATCGTAATGGATATTAATCGGTCAGATTTTAGCCTAGGATCAGAGGAACATTTGTCTCTCAGACGATGTCGACACCCAAGTGTCTATAGTCTACACTTAATAATATCTTTATACTCTAGCTCTGTGTCTTTAGTCGACGAGTGGTTTCGAGTTCACAGTCCCTAATTTGTTCCCTAACTTGCTGCACAGCAATAACCAACAGACTTCAGACAATGCTTTCGAATATGCTGTAATCTCAGACAAATTTCAGGGAGAATCCCACTCACAAAACAGTTTTTATAGAATATGACTATGGCGAAAATGACATGATACATTACATAATTTCCCTACAATTTGATTGGTTTCTATATTAACAAACCACTCTGTTACTAGGTAGAAGCAAACTCTGTTCTCTTGATTAATTCATTGTTATTCACAAGTTTTCCAAGCTAGACATCTGTGTACTGTAGTTTCATTTCCCCAATGTGTTATTTATACACTCACACATTCAAAGTCACAACCCCCCGATCAAAGGGGTTGGAAACATTTAAGATTCAAAGGCATATGAATGTTGTTCCTGCAAGAAAAGTACATTTTTAACATTACTTAAAAAAAATCCATCACAACAACCTAATTGTAAGAAAAATCGTGTGATCCTGAGGCCTGAGGCTGCTGGTCTGAAACTGCTGTCATGTACAGCACTGCGGTTCTGCAGTTAGACAAATTTACATTTACACTTACATTTATTCCTTCAGCTGATGCTTTTATCCAAAGCGACTTACAATTGCTATATTCCATAGGTTGCACGCCTCTGGAGCAACTAGGGGTTAAGTGTCTTGCTCAGGGACACATTGGTGTCTCACAGTGGATTCAAACCCGGATCTCTCACACCAAAGGTGTGCGTCTTATCCACTGCACCATCACCATGAGCTATAGACCTTATGCACCAGAGAAACGTGGGCGCCGTCATCTTTAGAATATTGTCTTTGAACTTCCGTTTTTGCGGTCGCTCTGTATATTTCTATGGCATCGCTGTCGCGAAGTAATTAGCTGGTGAAGTGGATTTACTTACTGTAGAGTTAACAAAAGTTATCATGAGCATTGTAATGTTTATCATAACCATTGTAAAGCAGATGTCTTATCAAATGTCGACCGGGAATTTTTTTACGAGCAGTTCATTCATACCTATGCAAGATAGCTGTGAAATAAAATACAGACCGGAAGTCAAAAGACAACGAGCGCAACGCTGAAAAGGGGCGGGGCTACATAAGGTCTATAGACCTTATGCACCAGAGAACGAGGGCGCCGTAATCTTTAGAATATTGTCTTTGAACTTCTGTTTTTGCGGTCGCTCTGTATATCTCTATGGCATTGCTGTCCTGGAGTAAATAGCTTTTGAAGTGGATTTACTTAATGTAAAGTTAACGAAAGTTATCATGAGGATTGTAATGTTTAAAACAGTTGTCTTAACAAATGTCAGTAGACCAGGAAGATTTTAAAATGAACCGTTCATTCATAAATAGGCAAGATCACTGTGAAAATACAGACTGGAAGACAAAAGACAACGAGCACAGTGCTGAAAAGGGGTGGTGCTACATAAGGTCAATAGCAGCAGAAATTCTGCTGGTTATAGGTCATTCTTTATTTTCAGCATACTTGCGTCACAAAGTCTTACATTCAGGGAACTGCTTTTTTCAGTTTGTTCTTGTGGAAATCAGCCATCACGATAGGCTAAATGACGACCACAGTGCGTACACTGAAGCAGAGCGGTAGCTTTGCTGTTTTGTCAATGCAAAATTTCCCCATGGACTCATTAAATCAGGGATTCTGATTCCAAGGGACATTTCAACACTGATGTATCACAGTAAACCCACACTTTGTAAAATGCCAGTGTGTAGACAGACACTCAACTCTCTATCTCCCATTGTTTAACAGATGCAAGACTCTTGAATGCACATTTATCTTACTGCCAGTGACTGCAATAGCAGATCTTAAATTATTTAGTGTTGCACACAGATAGCAGCAGTACAATTATGCGCATTATTTGTTTTTTTGAGGAGGAACTACAGTATTTCTGTAAAGAACAATGTATGAATTTGTATTCTGTGTGATGTGCTACTTGCTTGCAGTGCAAATACAGCTCAGAGGGAGCATACAGATATACTGCACCTCTTTTCACTGCTAATAAAGACATCTAAGCTTTGGCTTACATAGCTTTCAGAGGCCAAGAAAGGTCAGGAAATAGTTTGAGGGTGATGTGGATATTTGCTTTTCAGTAAATCTGTGTTAAGATAAGGTTGTAAAGTAATGTGTGCAGAGAAAACATCACTGTTTCCACACTCTTACTTATATTTTAAGAATGTCCCTGGAGATTTCATATTTATGTCATTCTGTCATTTGTAAGACTCCATATGTTTCCTAATTATAATTAACAAACGGTCATTCTAAAACATAAAATGGTAAAACTTTACAATAAGTAACAAAAATATTAACTTCTACGAACTAACAATAAGAATGTTTGTTACCAAATGTATTAATCTTTGTTAGTTAAAAAATACAGTTCATGTTTCACAGTGCATTTACTGTTATTTTTTTTAAAATAATGTATTAGTAAATTGGTGAAATTAACATTAACTAAGATTATGCTGTAGAACTATTGTTCATTTTTAATTGGTGTTAACTACAGATGAACTCCCTAATAAACTGACTTCCCCTCAGGGTTTGGGAGAAGCTTTGAAGGAGGCTTTGTAATGAACCAGCTCTCCACGGGAGCAGAGGCACAGTCTAGATCAAAATACTGTGCCCTGACTGCATGCCATGCTGCCCATATTATACATGGCTTCCGGTTTCCTTGCATATATACTTCAAGGTACTCATTTTCAATTTTAAAGCTCTCCTTAACCTTACTTATCCGACTTACTTCAGCCTTATACTCCTATTTGTCCCTTACACTCTTGCAGTGTGGGATTGTTAGTCAGTTTAGTCTGGTGACTATGGGAGCCAGGTCTTTCAGTGTTGTTGCTCTCAGGATGTGGAATGCTCTTCCACAAAACATTCATTAAACATCCACCCTTTTCTCCTTCAAAAACCTCTTAAAAACACTTTTTTCACCTCTCTGAATATTACTCTTCAGCTCTCAGTCTGTAAATTGTACCTTGTTATGGATATGTAATTTGTTTGAATTCCTCTTTGTTTGTATCTTTAACCCAACTTTTAAAACGACTTTCTATATATTACAGTACGTTCTGCCCTTGGTACAGTATGTGTATTTTGCTTTGATGTTGATTTGGTTCTGTTTCCTTGTAAAGTGACCTTGGGTGTTGGAAAGGTGCTATATAATTAAAATTATAATTATTAATATTAATTATGATTTTCCTGTCCCCTCAATATTTTTCATTGATTTATTTTTCCCCTTATTACATGTACAGATGAAACTCGAAAAATTAGAATATCGTGCAAAAGTTCATTTATTTCAGTAATTTAACTTAAAAGTTAATCATCAACATTATAACAAATAAAGGCTTGAAATATCTCGCTATGCATGTAATGAATCTATATAATATATATTAGTTTCACCTTTTAAGTTGAATTACTGAAATAAATTAAATTCAAATTTTTCGAGTTTCAACTGTATTATGTATTTATTTTTTTCTTTCTTTGTTTTCTCTTCTTATTTGTTAGGTTTGTTTTGTATTTATGGTGTTGTCCTCCTACATTTTGTCTTATGTCTTGCCCTACAAAAAAAAGTTCATATTTTATATTTCTCTTGTCAATATTTATCTTGTCAAAATCTCCTTAGTATTTTGTTTTTGAAATAAAGTATTTTGATCTATTTTTTAGGAATAAAATTATTCCTTTAATAATAAAAGCATAAACTTCAAATGTAAAATTTTTTCCTAACCTTTCCACCTCAGATTCTATTTTTGTTTTAATTTTTTTTAAATATATATTCAAAAAAAGTCAACTGTATGGACAACGGCCTATTCTGTGACTTTTTTAGAGAGAGAGAGAGAGAGAGAGAGAGAGAGAGAGAGAGAGAGAGAGAGAGACCGAACAATGTCACTATTGTGCTTCAGGATCACAGCTGGCTATCAAAAGATGCTTTTTATACCGACTCTCTCTTCACACAGTGGATGTTTCACATCTGGTAATATCCAATTACATTTAGAATTTTTTTACATCCAATAATGAGAGATGAAGTTGACAAAGCCAAATTTGTCTGTTAACAAAGCTGTTTAATGTTAACAAAGCAATTTAAATTAACTCTGCTGACCACACATACATAAGATTTCTGCTTGCTTCCCTTTTTGTGAAATGCTGTTCACACACACACACACACATATATATACATACACACACACATTCACAGGCAGATTATGTCTCATCTTATAAGTATGGATGATTTGTCCTCATCAAACTGTTTTTTCAAAAGTCAAGGGCATGTACAACTCAGGTAACGCAAGCCACAAGTATACCTCAGTGTAAGCAGTGTGCCAGTGTATCTCTGCCATGTATCTCTTTTAGTCCACATTCAGTATAAAAGGAAAACCTTGTCACATTTCACGCTTGGTTCCCCTTTTAAAATGAATGCATCAAAGAAATGTAATCTACGACTAAATAAAATGTCTTTCTTCAAGCAAACTAAAAGAATTGTTTAATAGTGTCTGTTCACTGTCTACAAACCTATACCCAAAGAATTTCATGGTCGGTCCACAAACTTTCTGTACAACTTGGGCCAGTTTGAAGGGTATACTACGCCGCCATTTCTCCACCTGTTCTGATGAGTTTTTTTTGGTGGAATACACGCCATTTGCCTCCGTTGCCGCATGCGTGTTCTTCAGGATCCAGTCCCGTGCTTGTGTCGTCATCGGAATCTCTGTGAAGTTGTACATTTCTGCTGCTTTCTGCATGGGGTACCTGGCGATATCCTCGTAACGTACTAGCATATAACGGTTTTTCAGCCATTTAGGCTGACTCAGGCCTAACTCGGCGGAGATGCGGATGTTGTTACAGTTTCCTTCAAGATGTTTGACCTCCTCGTCCTCTATAGGCACGTCCCCATTCACAGCCCAACTCTTCCAGTTCCGGTACTTACCGGCAAAGGCCACCATCCTCGATGCCAGGATGGCTCGAGGATCTCTCACCAACTGTATGAGTTTGATATCCAACCGAGGGTCCTCTACGAGAGAACGAAGTGTGTCTAGCTGTCGGACCCTCACTGTTTTGATCACCCTGTGCTGTTTTTCTAGGCAGACCTCAGACGCCAAAGTCAGATTGAGAGGTCCGCAACGCCTCGTCCTGCAGCGGTACCTCTCAAAAATGTCTTTTACGACCGGACTGCAGACTTGCTCCTCGCACAGGGCCATACTGGACTCTCTGCGGAAGAGGGCAGGGGTGACGTGGTCCTGTGGAGGAGGCTTAATGAAGTTCTCCAACATGGAGAAGTTACACAAAAAGAGATGCTGCAGGACATCCCTGTACACCCAAACAGAAGTGCTAGCATTTGTGCCTCTCTTGCCATTCGATAGCACCCTCTCCACGTGCCAGAGTGGCTCAAAGAGGTAAAACATGTTGCCACCATGTTGGTTGAAGAACTCGCCCACAAAGGAAGATCCTGTACGAGTGGTGGCCATTAAGAGGATGTGCTTCCGGCCTGCCTGAGTGCCATTCTCAGAATAAATGCCCTCTGGATAGGAACTGTTGTCCCCCATTACTATCAGACCATTGTAGGACACTGGAAGCTGTGTGCTCCGTCGGAGTGTCAGCTTGTCTGAGACCCTGCAAATATTCAAATGAAATGTTTAAAAACCTCAATATAAATCATTTTAAATAAATAAACTTTTGGGCAGCTCATAGTGAATATTTCTGAATCCAAGCATTCTCACCTTGAAATGATGTTGTTTTCTTTTTCAATGATGACAAGTGCCACAATGCAGATAAGGATGACTGCATACTTGTTCCTCATTCTCAAATTAACTTCTATTTAGGAAATGCCTCCACAGACTGCTAAAAAGTCACTGTTTTGGGGTCATCTCATGTCAGAACCTGGGTCTACAATTCACCTGCAATGAACAAAATCAAGACAAGGGTGTTGGCACCATTTCCACACAGACATAAAACTCACTAACACACCAGCCCTAAGTATTGATTCCAAGTGGTGACAGATTTATAGCTCTGTTTGAGCTTTGTTCCCAAACAAGCAGCCTGTACTGTCATCACCTGTCCAGTAATTCCACTAATGTTGAATGATGAGAGATGATGAGGTCCACAGAACACAGTGTCTCTCTTTGGTTACTGCTTACTGTGGATCACCATGAATCAGTACTACTTTAGCATTTTAATGCTGAAATATATTAGTATTTAAACCGTTGGTCACAGATTTAGGTATATGTTTTTCAAATTAGTCCTTGTGCTTACCAAGACTGCTGTGACGTGTATTCTGTGTTTTGACTCTGTTTTCCCTGTGCCTGTCGTTTGACCCAGAAGTGGGTTTGATTGTGTATTCCGTTCACCTGTTGTTCTTTAATTAACTCGTTAGTCCCTGTGAATTTAACCCCTGTGTCTCGTTAATGTGTAGTTCTCACATGTTCCTGTTTGGACTATTATTAAAGGATTGTTTTTTTTTTTCTTATTTATTCATGTGCTACTTTATATATAACCACCTGTGACCGCTGCAATTATTTAATAAAAAAAAAACAGTAATATTTGTGAAATATTATTACAATTTAAAAATACTGCTTTGTATATTTAAATATATTTTAAAATGTAATTTATTCCTGTGATGGCAAGATAAATATTCAGCAGCCATTACTCTGTATTCAGTGTCACATGATCCTTCAGAAATGATTCTAATATGCTGATTTGCTGCTCAAGAAACATTTCTTATTATTATCAATGTTGAAAACTGTTGTGCTGCTTAACATTTTTGTGGAGACTGGCCCTTTTTTGAGGATTATCTGATGAATAGAAAGTTTAAAAGAACAGCATTTATTGTGATGAAAAACAGGAAACTAAATTATAACTCAGAAGCTTTGGATCTGCCTCTAGGCAACCCACAGTCAAAAAGAAAATGGCACTTCCTATTGCAACAAGACTGAAATGTCTTTAAACCAGATGTGGAATTTTGTTTGTTTGACAATGAACCATTTTCATTTTCTGAGAAAAGGGTTAGGTAGTGTCCTCTACAGATGGTTTAAAATGATCTGTTGTTGTATATCATTTATTTAATGTCATTTTCCATCCATCTTAGGAAAGCTGACAGTAACTAACTACACTGAAATTCTCAGCTCCCCTTTCAGCAAGGGTTCAGGACCTCTGAATTCCACAAGCCAATTGTTCACTGTTGTTTTGGTTTACCTGTTTAATTAACATTTGTTTGGAGGTTTCTTTCCTCGTAAAAGTTGCATCACTAGATTTAAAACGTAAATACTTCGGGATTTGAATACAGAGCATTAAATAGGCTTTATGACAGTTCTAAGGAGAGTATTAATGTATGTACAACAAGCTGTTTATTTGTACTGAGTATAAAAACTCCTAATGTAATGGAACTGTTTCCTGTAGGAAATGGGAAAGGAACAACACCATTACACCACTAAATAAATTGGGCTGTTACACTGCAATAAAATCAGTAGCTTTAGAGCATGCTTGACCTCAGATAACCCCACCGAATGGCTTTAACTGGGTGAGCTGCTAGAACCTGACGTAGCTCTGTACAGGACTGTCGTTTTCCAGCAGCAATGCTGTGTACCTTTACAGCAAGGCAAATAACACCAGTTGACAGGGGGTAATCTGGACCATATCAAGAATACATCTATGCAAATAATCCGACCAGACCTCTGCCTGACGGTGGCTTTTATGAATGTGATATTTTCCTAAACTGTGCTAAAAACACAAGGAGAGACAGTGCAGTATTGCAGTCGTGAAGTAAGACGTGTGCGGGTGGCAAAACTGTCATAGGTAAATGCCATGCAATTTGTCTGCACAAAGAGTAGCATTTAAATATGACACAATTTCCAAGCCGTCAAGGAATGATAGTGTGCAGTCTAAGTAAATATAAACCAATTATGTGGGCTTATTATGCCATAGCCGTCAAACTGTCAGGCACGCCGGTTGAGCTGAGATCTTTACATATTCAAAAACCACTGGAGCATTTGACAAATCTGATGATCTGCTCAAGCAGAAACGGACATCACTCTGTTCATCATTCCCATACAAATTACATTAATGGCTTCTCTTACAGCCTTATAGACATGGGGGGGGGGGGGGGGGGTTTGCTTAAATAGACTTACTGTATGGCAGTATTTTGTTCTTTGAGTAAAAATACTTGATTTTTTTTTCTTAGAAATGAAAGATCCACCTCAGTAGCTTTTTAAAATAAAATACAGTGCATCTGATGCATTAAGACTGGTCTATGACATACGGTCAATCATTTTAAACCTTTGGGATAGCACCAGTTTTTATCCAGAAGTATTACATGTATTTAATCTAGTGTCGTTCTCTGTCAGAAAACATGACACAGGAAGTGAGTTAGCATGAGTATCAGAGAGGTGTGTGCTGTCTGGGGCCAGGGATCATGTTTCATCCTTGTGTTTTTGTCTTGTTTCATTACTGAGCGCTTTGCGGTTCAGCAGTGCGTGATAGCGCCTTCTGGGAGATAGGCAGTGTTTAGCTGGAGTTCTTCTATATGAGATAAATCCACTATTACCAGTGACAGGCTCACTTGTGCTGCCTGGACCCACAAGTTGCAGCTGTAGCAGCGGTGGAGGAGGGGAACGGGAACAGGGGGCGCATTTGCCGTGGCCATATCACAAAATGTAAACATTAAATGGGACCTCCCAGTCTTACACCCCACACCCGCTCTGATCTGCGCTTCACACATACACCAATACCTCCTGCCACCCCCTTCCTGCCATTTGACCTGGTTTTTGGTTTGTGTGGAGGATGTGAGCCGGGTTTACAAAAAACTGAAGACTATAGGAAAGCTTCAGACCCAGATGGCGTTTCACCTGCCAGTTTAAAAGCCTTCACTAAACAACTGGCTCCTATCTTCAGCAATTCCTAGCTGCTTCAAACGCTCAACTATCATTCCCCAAAAAACAAATCACTGGTCTTAATGCCATTTGAGAGACATGTGTTTGGCTACCTGAAGGACATCACTGGACCCATGCTGGATCCCCTTCAGTTACCGAGCAAACAGGTCTTGGGATGATCCATCATCTAAAATTCCTCCAACATCTCAACAGACCTGGGACTTAGGCAAGAATCTTAGTAGTGGACTTCAGTTCAACCTTCAGTACCATCATCATGCCTGATCATCTCAGCCAAACTGACCCAGCTCTTTGTGCCAGCGCCAATCTGTCAGTGGATCACCAGTTTCCTGACAGGCATCAGCTTGTGAGACTGGGGAAACTCACATCCAGGACTCTCACTATCTACACTGGTGTTCCTGTGTGCTCTGCCCACTGCTTTTCTTGTACACGAACGACTGCACTGCACAAGTCCCCTTTGTCTAGCTCCTGAATTTGCAGATGACCCCTCAGTCGTCTACCTCATCCAAAACTGACGAATCTGCTTACGGACTGGATGTTGAACAACTGGCTGTCTGGTGTAGTCCTGACAATCTTGAGCTCAACAGTGCTCAAAACAGTGGAGATGATAGTGGAAACCCCCAGCACTTCCCATCGTGAGTGGAGTCATTTAGGTTCCTGGGTACTACCTTTTTTGGGACCTGATGTGGGACACTCACAGTGAAAAAGACCCAGCAGAGGTTGTACTTCCTTCGTCAGCTGAGGAGGTTCTACAGCTGCGTCTATATTGCGTTATTTGTTTATTTTTAAAATAGTATCATTATTGTTTTATATCTCATTTGTATCACCTAATTAATATGTCTGCAATATGTCTATATGTTCTTCCGCACTGGAAGCTACTGTCACCAAGACAAATTCCTTGTGTGTAAACATTGTTGGAAATAAAGTTCTTTCTGATTAAAAGGGACGTGGCACCAAATGGCTTCTCTCTCTATCTCTCTCTCTCTCTCTCTCTCTTTCTCACACACACACACACACACACACACACTGTTCTTTCACTTGCTGTTTTGAAGTAATCATTGTGGACAGAAGATTGAGCATGACAACAATATAACTTCTAAATAAGAAGTTATGGTAAGTTAGTGGTAACATGATATTTGCATTGTAAAAATGCCCCAAAATATAGGCCTACAAGTTACTTTTTTTTCTTTCTTTTTTTTTACATTTTGTTATGTAGACGAATAAAAAAATGTTATACCGTATGTATTATCTTCTGACATACATCTTTTAGGTTAGCTTTATGATTTGATTGGTTAACAATTGGTCCACATGTTTTATATCAAGCTGTGTTTTTCTGTGATGCTTTTGAAATGACAAAATCCTCAAATTAAATCAGTCTCAGTCATTTTATCATATAGCTACAATTCTTACAAGGAGAATAACACTAGGTTGACTGACACAGACTGTTGCATTTTAAGTAGCTACTACACTTTGAACGTTGGCAGTGGTGAAAGTTATTACAGCGCGTAAAATCCTGTGGTAAAATAAGTATATCATCGATATTATTAGGCTACTGAAGAAAAGAAAATCTTACCTCACTGACTGAACAAGTCTCCAGTGGTCCATCTGCAGCAGCCTGAATGATCGCGACCGGTACACATTGTACACATTGTTCCTGTGCGTTGGCTAGATGAAGACTCCAAAATAGCATATGCACTTATCTTATCTACAAGAGTGAATACGCTAATTACACCAAAAAGTGAATTGACATATTAATAATTCCGTATTTCATGCCCTGATCATCCTATTTCCACGAACAAAAGGAGATCATTCAATGAAAAGGATCTTCCAACTTAGGCATTTTTGCTGAAACTCACAAGTTGAAGGGTCCCAAATTCATTTCCAGACTCTCGCAAAATTGAAGGAAAAACTTTTATTAATTTATTTCCAGTTGCGTTTTTCTCCGGTGCAGCATGCTGGAAAACGTGTCCATTACTCGGCGGGGTCTCCAAGTTTGGGCTATACTTGGATACACGGTCACGTGGTCAAAAAAAGAACCCCCAGTGTGAGTGTTCACAAGGGCTTTTCTGTTTGAGGAGGGCCCTGGGACACTCTTACGTGGATTCCTTCACCCCACTTTTGCTCTAGCGAGTCGATTGGGTCTTCTTCTAAAACACATGGTAATTTACACAGACATGAACCCGTACACTCACTGAATAATTGGCAGAAACAACTGCTTGAACCTAAGACGCTCCTCAGTGTCCCTTTAAATTACTTTGTAACATAGTTTCAGAGAAAAGTTTCATTTGTGGATATTTTTAAATTGGTGTAAGTACGTTTTAAGCGTATTTCTGTAATTATGTATTTAATTACAATGTTGGCAAACATCAATTATTGGAGTAACCTGCAGTGCAGTCAGATGTAGACAGGCTAGGATTTATATGCGTGTTATTTAGTGTACTCTTGTGTTTGACTTTTCGTGTTTGATGTTTTGCTGATTTTGCACCGAATGACCCATTAACTCTCTTGACACTTGAAAAATCTTAGTACCACGAGAGAGAGCCTCGAAACATTATCAGCAATAACATCATGTAACCACGTGGGGGCGGTGATGTACAGTGTTACTCACAACATTTTTTTTCCCAGTAAACTACCATGACTAAAATATTCACATTCTGAACACTTTTGTTGTTGAATGGACCAATTGTTACCTGCAGTTGTATAACCCAAGCATATAGGCCTATATATAAATACTGCCAAGCTGAGTCTTATCAAACCACTCAAGTACCAGAGCTGTGCAATTGAGGAACTGTAATGTTCTTGTCTCATTTAACGTACGGTAAATTAGGTTTAGACGGCTGGGTTAAAAGCAACCATTGGCAACCCAGCACTGGGTAAATATTGGAAAGAAAGCACCCAGGTTGGGTTGCACAGTTTAACCCAATGTCGTCTAATTTTGATTAAAAGCTGGCCCATATACCTCATAAATGGATATTATTTCTTTAATTTTTTATTTTTTTTACAGCAAAGGTTATTTATATATTTAATGAATTTATATAATTTTTTTTAAATTATTTATATTGATAAACAAGTCACCTTTATTAATATAGCGCAATACAGATTGTTTCAAAGCAGCTTTATGGTGATACCAGGACATTAATGCAACAAATATTGTTTTGACTGTACAGCAACTCTAGAAGAAAGTCATTGTCCAGTTTAAGTAAGTCCATCATTGATTCATTTCCATTGTATAGTTAGTAATTAAATTGACTAGAATGAATGGACATTAAACAAACAACATAAGCACAGTCTAGATTTTGTTTGATGGGAACTTTATTGAAACAAACATAGTTTGTCTTTTTTCAGTGTGTCTGCTACTTTATCCTCTCCATAATGACGCTTTAACTTTATTTATAGCTTAAAAACCAGATCCACGTTTGTTTACATCTCTGAAAATACTTTGGGAATAGGAGAAACATGAGAGAAAATGATTGGCTTGGTAGACCATGTAAAAGCTTAAACTCTGAGCTAATGCATAATATATTTTCAAATGAACTGAAGTTTGTGAGAAGATTAAAATGACGCAAATATGTTGATGACCCAGGCTTTGCATCCAGTCCAAAGCTTATTTGTAATCCAAGACATAACATTCAAAAATATGGATTGAAGATTTCTGATCTTTAAAAAATCTTTATAGTCAAACATTAGTATTGAAACTGGGACTCTAATGAAATAGCTACAGTAATCTGTCCCAGAGGTCCCAATTAAGATGTCCTCAGTGACCTTGTTATTGCACATATGATTTGCACATGAATTCTGAAATGCTGAAATTGATTCATTAATGTCGATATTTTCTAGTAATTATAATTTGTTGTCTATTTTATATAAAATATCACTGGGATCATTTAAAATCACCATTAGACCCTGGGTGTCACTTGAGGTTTCTTTCCATTGTGAACTTTTTTCTTTTAATGTGCATGTCCAATTTTAAACTTATTTTCAGATTTAAGAAGATGATAACATTTAGCATAAATGGCAAATCTGCCTGTCATTCAAGGTTTCTGTTCGGTCAGATAATCCACACTGCTGACGCACAATATACAAGAAATTTCCTGGGTTAATCTTACAATAAGCTGAATTTTTGACCTGCGTGCTTTTCTGTTTTTGTTTTCTCTCTGATTTATGAAAGTAAACGAAAATGCAATGAGTTTCCTTTTAATGTTATATATATATATCAAAATTATCATAATGATTTATTATTTTTTACGTAGACAAAGCAAGAGCATTGCAACAAATCTAGTAATCATAAGCGATAACAAGGCAACATTTTCATGGTCATATTAAAGTAATCGATTTTGTTCAGATCTGCCCGGGGACCTGCATGTCTTTTCTGTGGTGCACATGCAGAGATGCTTCTGGTTTGTGTGTCCCTGTAGACTGGCTCTGAACACTACATGATGATGAAGGATTATTGTAGGTTAATCTGCTTGCCTGCCATCTGCCTGCTCTAAACAAATTAATCCTGAAAGCAAAGCCACACTCACAAATGTAGATGAAGGTAAATTGGCAGGTGTTTCGTTTTGTGATCCACACAGCTGCTCATCTGAGCAAAATGTAGTACGAAAACTGTTTCAATTTTAATGGCAACTGGATTCTGAAACATTATTAGAATTTGCATTGTCAGGAACTTGTATTCAAAGTCAATAATACCATTCAAAGATTTCATCCATACCTGTGTATTTAACTGACTTAAATTTATAACAATGAACACCATATTTATCCATTAAAATGTTTGTTTTTTTCTACTAAATCATCCATATTAGCTCTTGACCTGCAGAAACGAGGACACCTCAAAATATAAAATATTTTTTTAGCACTAAACTTAAATTGAAGCATAAAAAGCTCTAATAATAAAGGTCATGAAAGAGATAGGAGTAGGGTGACCACCCGTCCCGCGTAGCGCGTGCGCGCACAGCGTTTGAAGCCCAATTCATGCGTCCCGCAAATTGAGACCGTGTCACGCATAATCAATGCTTGCTCAAAAAAAAAAAAAGTCGGTCAGTCTATATCCTCGAGACCCAGGCAGCCAAACGTTAATTGTGCCTGAACTCGTTCACGTTCATGAACTCGTTCATATTGTGGGTGAACTGAACGTATTGTTTTACTGCCTGTCCTGATTAGTGAACTCGTTCATTCTGGTGTCTGTGAACGCACGCTCTCTCATTTTAACTTCGTTCAATGGGGTGCCAGATTTCTATAGAGCCTTCCAGGCGAAAGCCCGGCTAAAACTCAACGTAAACAGGGTTTAATATGTAGCGAAAAAAACACCCAATCTGGCAACACAAGCCACCAGTGTCGCACCGCGCGGCCGCTGTCGACAAAGGCGTCATATGATAATTTAAACGGATTTTATAACGAGGTCGGTGAAGATGGGAAAAATCTTACATTTCTGTGCAAACTTTGAACTGAACTAGTTCATTTTAAAATGTGTGAACTAAACTTTGAACTAGTTCAGAAAGTGAGAACTTCCCCAAGACTGGTTGCCACTCCCACGTGACCTGCTGACTAGGTTGATGTCAACTTTTTCATTGTTGTCATGACAGCACACCTTGTCGTTCCGTGAACCTCTGGAGTTGTGAGTTTAGACTTTTTTTCCACTTTTTTAAAAACTGTTCCTGTGGTGTTGAGGAACTATAATTCCTGTTAATCCTATAATTTTATATTTGTATTTATTTAAAGTGAATTAATTGTAATGAAAAATAAATAAAATTAAATAGCTAAAGTAAATCGTAAGTGGAAGTGCATCTGTCAATTCATTGAATGTTCAAATATTCATTTTATTTAGAAAAAAAATACACATTGGTTGGCCTATTCATGAGCATATATCAGCAATTACACATGTTTAGGGAATAGGGCATTATTAATGTATGTGCTAAGGTATGTGCTTTTTTTTTTTAACAATTATTCATGTACAAACAGTAAGGCAATAGTAACAATTCTAGATAGGGGTAAACCACTATCAGAGTCTGCCCGTGGGATGGGGGCACCGCCGCGCCAAGCAGTGTCCCACATTGTCCCTCAGAAACATACCCCTTGTCCCCCCTTGGGCTTATTAGCAGGTGGTCACCCTAGATAGGAGACATTTTCTAATGCTGATGAGTCTTAGATTACATACGTAACTTCACATTTTAAATGTGGTCTGAACATGCTCTCTGAAACTGGATTGTCAGTTAAAGAGATTTAGACTATTCCTAATATATATATAGATGTTTATATGTGTTTGACCCCCTTTCGCCTTTAGAACTGCCTTAATTCTACGTCGCATTGATTCAACAAGGTGCTGAAAGCATTCTTTAGAAATGTTGGCCCATATTGATAGGATAGCATCTTGCAATTGATGGAGATTCGTGGGATGCACATTCAGGACACGAAGCTCCCGTTCCTTCACATCCCAAAGAGACTCTATTGGATGGGGTCTGGTGACTGTGGGGGCCATTTTAGTACAGTGAACTCATTGTCATGTTCAAGAAACCAATTTGAAATGATTCAAGCTTTGTGACATGGTGCATTATCCTGCTGGAAGTTGCCATCAGAGGATGGGTACATGGGGCCATAAAGGGATGGACATGGTCAGAAACAATGCTCAAGTAGGCCGTGGCATTTAAACGATGCCAAATTGGGACTAAGGGGCCTAAAGTGTGCAAAGAAAACATCCCCGACAACATTACACCACCACCACCAGCCTGCACAGTGGTAACAAGGCATGATGGATCCATGTTCTCATTCTGTTTACGCCAAATTTTGACTCTACCATCTGAACGTACTCCGTCTGAGACAGCGATATGTCTCTGTTTTCCTCCGGCCTGAAAACAGCCGGCCCAATCAACGAACAGAGGGCGGGCTGAGAGCCGTGTCATAGACGCTAAGTGCCGAGTTTAAGATTGGGGAAATCTAAAATAAACACGGATATGGAGACACGGGATGCAATTCGCATCTGTTGTGGAG